TTGTAGAGAAAATTTTCATCAACAGTAGTAAATAGTTTCTGTAAGTAGCAGGGCATGATTTGTTTTGAGCTTTCATTTAATGTACTTTAATTAAATGTAAGACATGAATGTATTTACTGCTAAAATGGAACTCTCTGGACCGATTTCAAAATGGATCTATTCAGGGCTACTAGTAATAATAATTCAGAAGCCACTAGATGGCAATAAAGACATGCAGAAAATAATTTTCTTTTTTTTACCATCTGGGACTTGATTGTCTGTAGTTGGAGCTTTAGTCCATCTTCAACTGGAAAGATTTTAACATATTTTCAAAACAATGCTCATGTGAAGAAACTCTCGATTATTAGCCTTCAGGATCTCAGATTCTTTTACAAAGCTGGACAAGTAGGATCTGGAAATATTTCCTTGTTGACCTAATTTAGAATTGCTAATCGTATTATAGTTTGAGAGGAATGGAATGAGCTTGTTTTAAGGTTAACTGAGTCACTAGATATTCAAAAAGAGGTATATTATATATACAAAGTTGATTTTTATAAATTAATCCAGACAGTTCCCCAAGAAAATATATTATGGATACTTATTATTTACTAAATTATGGAACATTACAAGTCTCTGACTCAAGGAAGCACAGTATCTTTTGTTCCATGCTGATTAATATAATAAAAATTGATCTGCCTTAAATTCTTCTGCTTGTAGAGGTAAACCCATATACAGATGATTGTGCTATATGGATTAGAAATAAGGAAATGGACATTGTTTGAGCAAGTTAAATTAAGTTTTAATTAATGGCTCAGTTTTCATGGAATAGATTGGGAACACATTTTTAAAAAAATTCATATGTAGATGTTTCAAAATTTAATAACTCTACAAGAAGTAGGAAGAAGTCTGTATATGTTGTTTGCTGCCAAAAAGGCCAATGTAGTCCTAGGCTGCATCAACAGAAGAATAGTATCAAGACCATGTGAAGCATTAGCATTGCTATATACTGCACTTGGAATATTGCATCCAACTTTGATCATCATGATATAAAAATATTGAAATTCTAAAAAGAATACAGAGAAGAACAACAAAGATGATTAGAGTACTAGAGGCTAAAAGATATGATGAACGTTTGCAAGAGCTGGGTAGGTCTAGTCTAACGAAGAGCAGGACTACTGGTGACATGATAGCAATCTTCCAATATTTGAGGGGCTGTCATACAGAAGTGGGTGACAACCTATTCTTCAAAGCACCTGGGATCAAGACATGAAGTAATGGGTGGAAATTTACCAAGACATACCCAGTTTAGAACTAAGAAGAAATTTCCTGACAGTGAGAACAATTAATCAGTGGAATAAATTGCCTTCAGAAGTATTGGATACACCAACAGTGAAGCATTTATTTATTTATTTATTTATTTATTTATTTATTTATTTATTTATTTATTTATTTATTTGATTTTTATACCGCCCTTCTCCCGAAGAACTCAGGGCGGTGCACAGCCAAAGATAAAAACAAATACATATATAAAATTTAAAAACCATTTAAAAACATATTAAATAATTTGGCCCCAACCATTAAAACAAACAACCCATTAAAATTAATGTTTAGGCCAACCCACCTTGTTGGAACAGTAACGTCTTGAGGGCACGGTGAAAGGTGCGCAGGTCAGGGATCATCCATATCTCTGGGAGCAATTCATTCGAGAGACCGAGTACCCTCACACAGAAGGCTCTTCCCCTGGGTGTTGCCAGTCGACATTGTTTGACCGACAGTACCCTGAGGAGTCCCTCTCTGTGGGAGCGCACTGGCTGGTGGGAGGCTATCAGTAGCAGAAGGCGATCTCGTAAATACCCAGGTCCTAAGCCATGGAGCGCTTTAAAGATGGTAAGCAACATGGTTTTGAAGAAGATAGGACAGTTCAGAATGATATAAGGGTTTCCTGCTTGAGCAGGGAACTAAAGGACCTCCAAGGTCACTTTCAACTCTGTTATTCTGAATTCATTCTCAGGTGTTTCAAAATTGGGAATTTCCAAATAATTGGAAAGGCACTTATAGGAAGGCACTTTTCTTCCTTTTGTAGAGATCCATCTGATGCTGTGTATGATTTGTACAGACACGAAAGGAAGACAGATTTTGCAAGGCATTCAAAATGTGGCTCTATCAACTACCCTAGGCCCAGTATTCATGGTTAACTTGAAACTAGATGTTATGAATGTCCTTGGCAGCTATTTTATGTTAATAAAGTTTTTTTTCTAAATTTTGCTTGTTTTATCTGTTATTTACTTTTTAATTGTCAGCTGCCCAGAGTCATTATATGAAATGAATAGCTATATACATTAATAATATCTTGGTCTTTAGAATCTAAAACCATTAGAGTATATATCAGCACTGGAGTCAATAATATTCAAGCTATATTGACTTCAAGGAACATAGTTGAATTTGAGGGCAGTTTTTTGTTCCTATTTTAGAATTTGTAGGACTTCCACTTTCTGAGTGGTTTTCAGTTATGTTGTAAGTCAATAACAATGTTTTAGCTATGAAGGTATTTCGGATGGTCATTTGAAAGAACAGTAATTACTAGGGAAGTAGGGATATAAAAAACAATCTAATGAATATTATTTGGTTTCAAAGCAGATACTTGCAATGATTGTTTTACAATAATTTTTGTTGGGTTCCAGGACACATAGGTATTATGGGAAATGAAAAAAGAGATTATACAGCTAGGGAGAATTTGTTTGCTTCTGATGTGGCTGTTCCTTTACTTTTAACTCCTTTGGAAATCAAATGCGGACTTAAACGGGGGTTCAGAAATAAATAACAGACAGTGGGAAAATAGACATGCTGAAAGACACTTTATTTCTATGCTGATTTGGATGTTTTTTTGGGGGTGGGTTGATTGTCAGGATCAGGTGAAGCACATTCGTCTTTTCAGAGCCATTCTAGGTTTATTATACGTTAAGGTTGAGTCTCTAGAGAGGGGAAGAGGTACAATGGAACTATATGATGATGCTTGTGGAGCAGAAAAGAAAACCCTCATTCATATTCTTTGATACTCCTAGTGTTATAATAATGATAAAATAATGACTTTCTAACTTGTGTATTTGAATTCTTTCTTACCTACTGATATACTAGCTACTTTGCCATTCTTGAGGATAATTTGATGGCATTCCAGGATTGATGATTTTTTGGGAGATTAATAGAATGTAAAGATTGTTTTGATAAATGAAAATAACAGCAGTAAACTGGTGATGAAGTTTGCTTTGCTTTGCTTTGCTATTTCTCTCAGGAAAAAGATGAGCTTAAATGTGCCGTTTCCCACACCTACATCTCAAACTGTGTTAAATAAGGAGATTTGCCAAGGGAGCATACTCAAACAAACAAAATCCTTTGTGAAATGAGGAATCAGAATGCAAGTTTCTGGTCAAATGCAGGGGTAATCCCAATTCCTCTGATTTGTACTACATACTCAGGCATAACATCTGAATAGAAGTCTTCTAGATACAACACCAAGCTTCACTATCAGGATTTTACATGCCGCTCTGCTTAATATTAGCTTGTGCAGAACCAACAATGTCTTGGAACTGTTTGTATATCTACTTTGTTGACATTGCCCAGGAAGTCAGCAATTCTACTTAAATTAAAAGAATTGAATGTAGGAGGAAGAATGTGTCATCTCTATCTTCATAAGGCAGAATCTGGTCCCCTGCTGTGTTTCCAATATGCTCCCCACTTTCTTCTACATATTTCTTCCCCTTTTCTTCACAAAACAGCAGCTTCATTTCACATCCATTTTTTTTCATACGCTTTCACATCTTCCCACTCACAGATACACACAAATGCAACTCTACATTATTTTCTTCTGCTGATAATGGATTTCTCTGGTGACAGCAAGTGCTGCCAAATATGTGGGTAACATTAAGTTCAAACTCAATTCTTCACCTCTATCATGATGCACAACTTGCTCAGTAGAAAAACTAAAAAAAGCAATTTTGTGTCCATAATAAAATAACTTGCTTATTCTCCCGCCCTCTTCTATATATAAGACCTTGCAGTTTATTCACAATAACTTGCATGAAAATTTCCAAAAGTGGTCTTGGGAGCTAAGAAATGACTTCACTATTAAGAAAGGAGGTTGATATAAAAAAGATACTCTTCTGGAAAAATGTATGTTTATAAATAAGATTTCGCTAACTGCTGTCCTTTAGTGCTGGTCATAACACAACATTGGTTACTTAAATGGAAATGGTTGGACATTGATCAGACAGCAGAGTAATACATATAAAATTCCAGCAGCCAGCCTTCTGTATACACTGAAATGGAATTGGATAAAACTGGAATAAATACTTCTGTAAGATAACATTATGTGACAATGTAGAAAAATATGCCACCATCTCTGTCCCTCTAGTGTTACATGAACAATACTTTGAGAAAGAAGAACTATTTTATATCTGCCTACCAGAACTGCTAAAGGCAAGACATTAAACCAACCCAGTCAAAAATCCCTATGCTACATTGGCACTGTAATTCAATTACCGGTAACTGTATTTTAAAACTAAACATTTCCCCACATCCTTGATTGTGTTTTCAGTACTGCAATGTATTGAAGCATTCAAACAAAGCACTGGGTCTAATTTCTGGGCTGCTCTTGATAAGCACAGGTGAAGCATTATATAGGAACAGAGGTGATGTATATCCAATCTATTCAAAACTCACATTGCTGATTTAGCTGTCATATTGCATATACATTTCATTGCTGCATATTAACAATAACTCACATACTCTTAAGAACAAGAAACCATTAGGCATTGCTGTGCAGTGCTTCAGCTTTTAATTGTAAGACATGTTTTGTAATGTGTGGGAGTGCAAACTCAACATGTCCAGCTTTAATGAGGCGCAGACTGGTGTTGTATTTATGTTCTGGAGCACCTCTTTGAATTGAATTGGAAGCTTGCATGGCCCCATTACTAAAAAGCATATCAGGTACATTTAGTACTATATGCTTCCTGCCATCAACTTACCTGATAAGCCTCCCACGTCCATCTTCTTCAGATTCTTTGCTTCTAAAATGACAACAGTCAGCTTGCCAGCAGTAGGCACATAGCGGAGAGAGAAACAGATGTCACCTAGCTTCTCTTGCTGCAACAAAGCAAAGGGAACTGTAAGTAGATATATATCAGTATATTGCTTAAAACCAAAGGTTAACACATTTATTTTCTAAAACACTCTTGTAAAATAGTGACCTCTATGTTAATCTGTTAGGAAAACAAGGTATTTCAACATACATGAATTGCTTTGTTATAGCCTGAATCTGAATAACTAGAAAAAAAAATCTGCTCTTATTTCTTACCAGTTCCTGTTAAAAACACTGGTAAATTCAACATTCCATTTTTCAGGATTTATAAGTGGAGTCTTTCCCACTTCTGTAACAATGAGAAAACAAATCTGGAAAATACCTGCAAATATACATTTATTTAATTAGCAACTGTTAAAAGCAACTGTTAAAATTTTAATCTCTTTGCAGATGAAATTGGTGTATTACATTTTTAAAGTTTATAAACATGGAAGATTTTGTATGTAAAAAAGATCTCAATATTAATCCTGCTCAAATATCATCTTTGAATTGAACTTAGAAATAAGGTTCTGTGCCCAACTCAGTTTCAGGTAACACAAAATTATCTTCAACACATTAGACCATTGTTTCTCACCCTTGGCAACCTTAATATGTTTGAATTTCAGCTCCCAGACTCCCCAGCCAGCCAACTGTACTAGACATAATTCATCATCCTATTGATCTAGATCTTAATGTTTATAATAGGGCTTAGATCTGAGTAATAATTTGAATTGTGGCATACATTTTCATTAAACTTAATATTACAGAAATATTAATCATACGTTTTCATTAAACTTAATATTACAGAAATATTAATCAGTTCTTCCAATAATACTGTACTGAGGTTATATCTAAAAAGCTAGACAATTTGAGAATCAGGTATTACATCTAGATCTTCAATTTTATTTTTTATCACCTTTCAATGACTGTAGTTATTTTGTCTCTCACATTTGTTTCTAATATGTTAAATATACTAATTCCATAGCAATTTCTAATAGAAAAATGCAGTCATGACTTCTAAGTATGGCAGCTGATGTCTGACTCATTTCAAATTTGTATTTTTCTGCATCCACAAATGTGTTAATTGTTAGCTCACTGCTTGCTGCTGTAAATTATTAGCGACCCTTTTAGCACGAATGTTAGATTAGTTGCGATAGTCATCAGCACATCATTAGTTTTGTTGTCAGAAAACAGTGAACTGTACTGAGCCTTGTTATGTTCTGAAATAAACTGAACAGTTTTGAAAGATAAAATATCAGTCATAATTTAGCAAACAACACAAGTATTGTCCAAATAGACACAATGGCCTGTTCCAAATGTCAACATGAGTTCAGAGGTCAACTAAATATATGAGAATTTTCTATGGCTATGATGAACAATATTGCATTACTAAAGGCATTCAGCACACAAAGGTTAAGCAGCCATTGCAAAATGACAAAAACTTTCTATTAAATGCAAAAATGAGTATATCTGAGGCTGGAATGATAAGAACAAGAACAGACTTCATGCTGCTCAGTAATGATCATTAGAAAGAGTGCTGCTGTGATCTTAGATCTATGCTATTTTAGTGGGGTAAGAATATTACTTAAAAAAAACCCCTACAGCATCAGGTTATGCTTAAACAACTCTAACTAGGCATTTAGGCCTCTGATCTTTCTTTGACAGGTAGCTCTCATTAAATACACTCATTATGAAGTGTAGTATGATTACACAATTACCTTGGGGAATATGATAATAAACCTCCTTGAAGACAATCTTTTGTATGCTAGAAGACAACTACACAAAAGGACAGATGGGAGTCTTCAATATCTTAAGGTAAGGGTGTGCCAGTAACCATTGAATCATGTGTCACCTCCTAAGGACAGTTCTCAGTTTCTGTCTAATTTTGCCTAATAGGTTTAAGTACAGCCAGGTTGTACATTATCACTGATCTTAATCATAAATACAAGCTGCCAACAAAGCCTGCTCAGCTGGACTCTCATTTCCATACTTTTCAGGTATCAGCTAAGACTGGATTATCTCATTGGAAATACAACCGTGCACTCTCATAAATGGCTACTGTTTGGGACTTCTTATGGAAAATGGCAGATTGAAGAGATTGCTTAAAGTGGCAGCCCACACCCACCTATGTTTTGGGGGCACAGGCAGATTTTCTGGAGCAGAAGAATTCTTTGGATATTAAGAAAAATCCAAAAAATTGACCCACAAGTGACCTGCAAGTCCTCCAGACAGCCAGTGCTTGCAAGAGATAAATCAACATAGACAATAGAAAAATATAGAAAACAACCATCATGTGTACAGTATTTTGTTTTTTTGTAGTGTGGTTTCCTGAAAATATTATTTTTGCCTGAAAACCAAAATTAGAAACTATTTAGCACACTCACAATTAGGAAACATATTCTTTAGTACCAGCCCTCTTCAAATCAGTACTTTCTGAATTCTTAAGTACTGTATTCCGTGAATATTTAAATGTTCATAATCACTGCTTTGCTACCTTGCAAATGCCCCCTGTGGTTGGAATTCCACCCTACATTTCAGATTTTCCTATTGCATTTTATGAGCACAACCAAAAGAAGATGCAAAATCCTACTGCTAATGTTGCTTTATCAAGTACCAATCACAGCTACAGAACTTTCTAAATAAAACTTCTTCATGAGAAGAAAGTTCAAATGTGAAGAACCCACACAGATCATTTGGCTATCTAGTAGAAATTTGTTTCAATGCATTCTATGCACACATTCATATTTTTTTTTTAAAAAATGTGCTGTTGTCCCTACCCTGGTGATATATTGAAGGGCCTTAAAGACCTGGTCTTCACCACGGCCTTTGGAGAGAATAACTGATGCCCTGTTCTTTCTTTCTGTTCCCCTCTGGGCTAGTTTTATTTACCATTGTTGTTCTTGTGTTGTATTTGTTTTTTCTGTGGTTCTTTATTGTAAATGTTTTAACAAGTGTAAGCAGCCCCAAGTCATTGGGAGTTGGATGACATATAAATTTAATAAATTATTATTAAATATTATCAAATTGAATGCTTAGAACTCAATGCTATATCTGTTTATATAATCTATTCAAATTATGTGGTGGTTAATATGCTGATATAAAGTCATGTACTTGTGGTTTTCAATGATAATTGAAAATTCCTGCCAGATTAAGGAACAGAGAAGCATCTCTCTAGGGGTGATTATTTCACAGAGGTGAAAGGTATTGTTATTGTTATTATGATTAACTTTCATTTTCAGATATAATTTAGTTTAGCCAATTGCTGGGATCACTGGATGGAAACTTCCACCTGGTGTTAGAATGGTCCTACTGGGAGGTTCACCAAGGTTAACTTCTTTCTTTTGAATGTTCAATTGCCAATCAATTCAATTGCTCCTTCTGCTTTAAGCAGCTTGATAATATACATAAAATTGCTCCCACAGAACAGAACATAAATGAATTCAAAGCTTTAATAGATCACACCAGAATAATTTTCTTCTTTACAAGAAAAGGTCAGTTAAAACCCACTGAGCCAGCAACTGTTCTGTTAGCAAAAGGCTCCAAGTGATTAACATTATGACAGAGAAAGATTTTTTTTTTTACTTTTCCTATCCATATTCATTTTAATAAAAGGCAGAGACAACAATAAACAACAAAAAACAGTAAGATTCTCATTTACTTTATTATCCTTGGACTATGATTCATCCGGTTGTTTATGATTCTTTGTGAATCAATGAACAACAAAATATTTAAGCAGAGCTTCATTTTTAGTGCTAAACAGTTCTTCTATATATTTTTCCAGTAGATATTTGTTTTATTTTTAATGTCCCCATTTTTTCATAAAGCATCCCTTCTTTTCTTTAATTTTTGGAACCCTTTTACTTGCAAATATTTAATTGGGTTAAAAATTTCAGTTCAAAGTTCTTCAGACACTCTATATAATTTAATCCATTAAATATATTCTTTACCTACACAAGATATTCATATGGATTTTTAAAAAAAAATTATATTGATAAGATGCTACAAGTTGCCATACTGTACAACTGTTCAACATTTATTTCCAATGCATCTTTGTCTGGAGCACAAACATGGACTCAAATTGAGATAATTTTACCATAGTTTTGATTGAACCAAGCACTGACATTGACATCCTTTCCTTAATAATAATTTCTACAATAGTTTTCTTGTTGGCAGCAGAAAATCTAAGTATTTCTGATGTGAAGTGATTCATTCTAGTACATTTCATATAGGTGATTCTAGGAATGCTCAATCTAAGTATTTCTGTTCCAGGCTTAATCTTCTCTTTCCTCATTTTCAAATATTCCATGGAATACATGATTTTCCAGCATTAATCTTTCCAGTCACATCCAGGAACATCAACAATTGGACGTCCTTTTGATTTCCCCTCTTCTTTTCTCTTAATAGTTCATTACATACTTTCCAACCTGGAGACTTGTCTTCTAGTTTCAGATTCACATTGTCCTGCATGCAAATGCCCATTTGGTTTTCTTGGCAGAATAATGGGACAGGATGTCAACTACTTTTACAGGTATCATTTTTTATACTTTTATAAACATAAACTTACTATTAATACTAACAAAATCATTATTTTATAACTTGCTTTTTTGGGGAACAGCACAACTTCAAGACTAAAAAAAAGAGGCACAACACAAGGAAGGAAAAGCAAAAAACAAACAAACAAAGCAAAAGATGAAATAAATGCACTAAATGAACATCTTCCTTGATATATTTGGTTTGGTTGGATCCAGAGGAAAAGGAGAAATGTTGCCAATGGAGATAAAGGTAGGAGGTGACACAAGCAGGTAACAATGGGAAATTATAACCCATTTTATAGTTATGATTGTATCTTCAAGAGACACTCTTAATTCTTTTTTTTTTTTGTATGATAAACAGATGGTTAAAATAAAATACTGACTGTGCCAACTTGTTGAATTCAGTGCTAGTGATTCTAAATGGTTAGGGCACTTGTTTGTAAAGCAATGTATACAAGCAAGAATTGTGCCAATTGACTGCCTATAAAAAGTAA